CTTTTCTGACTGTCCCCCACTTAACAAACGGGCAACAAAATAAAAAAAAAAAAAAAAAAAAAAAAAAAAAAATGGGATTGGATTTCCTTGCCCATTGATGATGATGGCTGTACAACTTCTCAACCATAAAGATGTATTTGTGGGCATTTTGCAGATGGCGTTGATGTGCTTGTTCACACTAAGCTTGAAATTAACTGCGACTTATAATAAGGGATGTATTTGGGAATTTGGGACTTAAACCATTTACAAGAACATTTTAAAAACAGTCATACGTTCAACATTAAGGATCACTCTATAAATGAGGCCCCGGGTTTTTCGTTCTCACATTTGTACGATCCGCAGAACCGCTGCAATCATCCTGTGCAACGAATGATGCAGGAAAGAGCTTGTGATGGTACTAAAAAAAAAATAAAAGTTGCTTTCTTAAATCCTAGTGTTGGAGTTCACTCGAACTACACGGTAGTTTCATTTCTCCAGGGTCCCGTGCGTATATTCCCCGTGCTGTCGGGTGGATACAGCAGCGCCTCGTGCACCGGCACGCTTCCCTTCAGGATGCCGTTCTGATTGGCTAGCGACTGTCTGCGTGCATGCAACTCTATGTGCGCGTGATGCAAATCGTCCCCCGTGAGCTTTCCGCACTGGAAGCTCTCGCCCGTGTCGAGGAGCTCATCTTTCGCGCAACACATGTGATGGTGGTGGCAGAGCGTGAGCGCCTCGTGAGGGCAAACGTGATGCCCTTCGTGAGCCAGGTGGCAGATGTGGGTGTGTGGGCTGTTTGCGCGCGAGCTGTGCGCACTAGCACCGTCGGAGGGAATACGGAACGCTAGTTCACGTTGCCGCCTCGTTTTAGTCCTGACGGGCTTGGAGCAGCGGTGCAAGCGCATGGCGGGCCGGTATCCCTCAGGGTCGGCGTGGAGGAGCACATGCGCGCTGGTTTCGTCCTCTAGGAGCTGCTGCGTGTGCAGAGCGGCGCAACACGGCGAAACCGGCGTCAGGCAGGTCACGTGATTCTGCGTGGCGGTGCGGCACGTGCAGTGAGCGGGTTTCCCGGCGTCCAGATGGCAGTGGGAGTGGGCATCGCCATTTATGTTGACTTTGTGGGCGTGGCTGTGGGCGTGGTATGCGTTGGAGGGGCGTCGCCCGGGGCAGCATGCACACCAGCAGTGCCAGACATCGTCGCGTTTCGCGCAGTGGTGAATCAAAACGAACAACCCGAGCGTGACGGAAAACGCCCCGTACAAGCAGCTGAAGATCATATCCAGAAAGTGACCCTGCGATACGGCCAGTGCGCCGAACGTCCACGTGGCTGCGAATAAAAACAGCGTGAACGCCGCCGTCCGCAGCTGGGCTTTAAACGAGTGTTCGTTGGCCAGCGTGGACGGGTTAATGAGACCCGGGCAGCCGCCGTGACACTGACTGCTCGCCGGCTCCCCCTGGTGGAGGTCGGAGAGCCGCTGCTGCTCCTCGCTCACCGCCTTCAGCTCGTATTTCCGCTCGGGGTGTTTGTGCAGCTGGATGAAGGTGCACAAGAAGTAGACGCAGGTCACCAGGACGATAAAGCCCACGGGGCCGTAGAAGGCCCCCAGACTCGGCTCCCATGCCATCCAACAGCTGCAAACACAGCAGATGAACACTTACTGAACATGTTATATTATTAAGCCATAATTAACCATATTCTGGTTAATTAACATTCAGATTTTAGCAATTTGATGAGAACAAACTTTAACTGAATTTAATTGTCTATTGTCTTCTGTAGAGCTGCTTTATCAATTAATTCAATGTGTTTCATAATTGATGAATTTTGCACCAGTGACACTGTTATTCAACTGAATTGAATCAACACTGAACTGAATAATGACACTACTGTCTTCTGTAGAAATGCTTTATAAATTAATTAAATTTGTTTCATAATTGATGAACTGTGCAACATACACATACAATCTGCAATGATAGAAATAAATTAAATTAATAAAAAAAATAACAGAGTTGTTGTTATTGTTAAACAGTCTTATTATTGGTAACAAAAACTGACAAGCAAAAATTGTTTTCTGTAATTGAGATAAAGCTGAAATAAAATAAAATAAAAATGAAACAATAAATAAATAGAAAAATAAAATACATTTAAATAAAATAATAAAATAAATTATTAAATTAAATTAAATAAATGCATGCATACATACATAAATACATATTAAATGAAAACAAACTTAAAAAAAAAAAACTAATGAAAATTAAATCAAAACGTCACCTTGGCGACTAACTGAAATAAGTTTTAGTTGAAGTAAAAAATTACTGTCCTATCATAACAAAGCATACATCAATGGAAAGCTTATTTATTCAGCTTTTCAGATGATGTATAAATCTCAATTTTGAAAAATTGACACTTAAGACTGGTTTTGTGGTCCAGGGTCGCATATATGAAAGAGTCAAACTGGTATAAGAAAACATTCGACTGATTTAGTTGTTACTCACAACGGCGTCTGCTCTCCGCTGCCGTAGTTCTCGATGTTGATGGCTGCTGTGATGCCGCAGATGATGAAGGGAACTCCTGCGCTCACTAAATAAAACCTGCAGACACAAAACACAATCATGCTGAAGCTAAAAATACAGAGCCGGGTTTCATCAAACACTGAAGTGATGAGGAAGAGTTTATGAGGGATCTATTTGACCTGTCAGGACCGTTTGAGAGAAGTATTAAACACAAAGGAAAATCTACAGGAATCAGATCAGAGCGATGTGAAAATCCCAAAGCCAAGGAAAGACAAAATGAGAGAAAGATGAGAAGAGTTTCCTTTAGATGTCTGTGACATCAAAACAGATGTTATTTAGATAGCTAGATATAAATGTTTATATTGTTAACTATAATTGTTAACTATAATTTGCTCAGCAAGATTCTCTGATCCACCATGATCAAAGTTTTTCACACATTAAACTGTTTTAGTGGAAATATCTGCAGGGAAATATTGTTTTTTAAGATGCATAGTTATATTAAACATATCAGTGTTGTTATTGTTAACTAAAACTTTTAAAAGACATTTAAAACTTAAAATACTAATTGAAACCAAAACTAAAATAAAACAAATTTATGGTGTAATGTCTAAAAAAAAATAAGCCTGAAACATAAAAACAAAAGATATTTCAAAATATTAACAGAATAACATACAAGCAAATGAGTGTAATTGCAGGCAGTGAATCAGGGCTGTTATGACATCTCAACAGCACATAAATATAATATAAATATAATATAAATTGTCTGCAAAATGAATGAATGTAAAACCAAAAATCAACATACAATGGAAGTCTTTGGAGTAAGGAATAGCACTAGAATAAACATTAAAAAACATAATTTTGAAATGATCACAATGTGCTAATTTTGTGACTTCATATCTATGACTTTTATGAGACTAGTGTGATAAAACCACATGCAATGGAAATTTGGTAATTCTGGGAACTTTCACCGGTAACATTTTACAATAAGTTCCTATTAGTTAATGATAGTTAATGCATTACATAACATTAACCAACAATGAGAAATACATGTGTTGCATCATTTAATCTCATTGTTAGTTCATGTCAGCTCAGATCCATTAAAAAGCATTAACAGATACAACTTTTGATGTTAATAATGTGTTAGTAAATGTTGAAATTAACATTAAGATTAATAAATGCATTTTCATTGTTAGTTCATGTTAACTAATGTCAACAAATTGAACCTTATTGTACAAATATTATCCTTTCATCTGATAAACAAATATAATGCAACTATCCGAAAAAAACATTTCATGGAGCAAAACAATGACAAGAAACGCTAAACCAGAGCCACTAAATCATCCAACTAGAGCAGACGTTCAACCACTAAAAGCATGAGAAACTTTACTGCTAAAATCATAAACACTAATTTATAAATTCAAGCAATACTTCTCACTGGGATCATAATGTGCGGATGAAAATGGTGCAATAAGGCGAAAACGGTGCAATCACGCAAGAGGATCATGATCACCACCAGTCCACAAATTGGCATGAATGGCAATTGTCAAACTGTTCCATACAGATGGCCTTATTACAGAGTAAACAACTCATGCACTCAGATATCAGCACTTTAGGTGATGTTGAATCAAAATGAACATGAAACGATCGATGCGCTGTGACTCTCAGCTCAGTTCAATTACAGATGCACCGCTGCATCTGCGACCTTCATTACACCTGCGGTGTTTACAGACGATCTGATGACAAATGGGCTAAAAAAAGGTGACTATAATAGCAGAACAACAACAACAGGTAGCCGTAATAAACCAAAGTTACACAAAATATGAGTTTTTTTTTTGTGATGCATTTAAAATGTAAAAGGCAAGACACTATAGGCAAAAACATTGTTTTTTTTTCATGCATTTATCAATTTTGAGCTATTTGGGTTTTCATAACTTGTCTTCTTTCAGACTATTGGAAAAAGCCAACCAAAATACACTTTTAAGTGTTTATTTTATTGCACTCATCTATTTCATCTGTAGATTTCAGCTACAGTACATATCTTTTAAGAGTTTTTTCTCCATTTCAGTAACACTTACATACTCCAAAACTTACAGTTTTATTCCTCTCTATATTCTGAAGGTTTTTACTGAAGGGTTTCAATTTGCTTGATTTTATTATTGCACTTTATCTGTTTACATCTATAGATTTCAATTACAATACATATGTTTAAAGGCATTTTTTTTCAAAATGAGTTTTTTTCTCCACCACAGTAACACTTACATACACCAAAACTTACAGTTTTATTCATATCTATATTCTGAAGACTTTTACTGAAGGGTTTGTTCATATGTAATTTGCTTGATTTTATTATTGCACTTTATTAATGTGTGTGGATTTCATATATTTAAAGGCCATTTTCTCAAAATGAGTTTCTTTCTCCACTTTGGCAGCACTTACATACACCAAAACTTACAGTTTTATTCATATCTATATTCTGAAGGTTTTTACTGAGGGGTTTGTTCATATAACATTCGCCTGGTTTTATACAACATTTTATTACTAAAAACATGGCGAAAATTTATTTGTTTTCTGTCTGTTGACAGTATTTTCTGATTTATGAAGTGATAATAAGAGAAACCCCAAATCCCTTCAGCAAAAACCTTTAAATCTAATATGTCAATTAAACAATAATAAAAAAAACTGAATGTTCAGATTTCTGTTCTGGAAGTGTATGCAAATGAGTGCATATTTAAACATAACATTTCAATTATAACAGTTTTAAACAATGTATTATATAATATATGCATTTTTTATCCTATTCACCTGTATTGTCTTGCTTTAAAACACAAGCCTGATGTGACTTGTATGTAATAAACAGCAAGTTATTGTAAATTAAATGATGTTTCACAAGCCTTTGAATGAGGCTGCGACATGACTTTACATTGCACTAAAAACCCAAATGCAATAAGAAAACTCTGCTTCTGAAAGAGCGAGATGTGAGAGCGTGAAATAGATGTGCTGATCCAACCAACAATCAAGAAATAAAACAAACTGCGGGAGGCTTGAGGCGTGAGAGAATTATTCAGTAGACAGATAAATGAAAAAACAATCACGCCGCTTGCAGCTGAACAGCAGAATCACTCTGGAAAGAAACACGCTTCAATCAAAGCAGTGAAAGTGCACATCACAGACGAGAAACAACATTACTGAGCTATTGATCCATTTCAGGGCTACTCATACTACTCTTATTTACTACACTATTGTCTGCAGTATGCAATATGCACAGTATGCACTTCTTCTACAAGCACAGAATACTAGTGTGCAATGCATTGCATAATGCATACGGTTTCACATGCATAAACAAAATAGGCTTCAGATTTGAGTACATACTGTGTTGTATGCAATACACTTTGAGGGACCCATTTTCCATGTTCTGCTTTAATTAAAAAACAAATTAGTTTGGAGAAAAGAGGGTGAATTGGGGTGTAAATGGAGTTTCTCCTCACGTCAGAGGACTTAAGATTGGTTAAAAGCCAACCAAACCAACCAAAATACACTTTTAAGTGTTTATTTTATTGCACTCATCTATTTCATCTGTAGATAGTACATATCGTACATATCTTTTAAGAGTTTTTTCTCCATTTCAGTAACACTTACATACTCCAAAACTTACAGTTTTATTCCTCTCTATATTCTGAAGGTTTTTACTGAAGGGTTTCAATTTGCTTGATTTTATTATTGCACTTTATCTGTTTACATCTATAGATTTCAATTACAATACATATGTTTAAAGGCATTTTTTTTCAAAATGAGTTTTTTTCTCCACCACAGTAACACTTACATACACCAAAACTTACAGTTTTATTCATATCTATATTCTGAAGACTTTTACTGAAGGGTTTGTTCATATGTAATTTGCTTGATTTTATTATTGCACTTTATTAATGTGTGTGGATTTCATATATTTAAAGGCCATTTTCTCAAAATGAGTTTCTTTCTCCACTTTGGCAGCACTTACATACACCAAAACTTACAGTTTTATTCATATCTATATTCTGAAGGTTTTTACTGAGGGGTTTGTTCATATAACATTCGCCTGGTTTTATACAACATTTTATTACTAAAAACATGGCGAAAATTTATTTGTTTTCTGTCTGTTGACAGTATTTTCTGATTTATGAAGTGATAATAAGAGAAACCCCAAATCCCTTCAGCAAAAACCTTTAAATCTAATATGTCAATTAAACAATAATAAAAAAAACTGAATGTTCAGATTTCTGTTCTGGAAGTGTATGCAAATGAGTGCATATTTAAACATAACATTTCAATTATAACAGTTTTAAACAATGTATTATATAATATATGCATTTTTTATCCTATTCACCTGTATTGTCTTGCTTTAAAACACAAGCCTGATGTGACTTGTATGTAATAAACAGCAAGTTATTGTAAATTAAATGATGTTTCACAAGCCTTTGAATGAGGCTGCGACATGACTTTACATTGCACTAAAAACCCAAATGCAATAAGAAAACTCTGCTTCTGAAAGAGCGAGATGTGAGAGCGTGAAATAGATGTGCTGATCCAACCAACAATCAAGAAATAAAACAAACTGCGGGAGGCTTGAGGCGTGAGAGAATTATTCAGTAGACAGATAAATGAAAAAACAATCACGCCGCTTGCAGCTGAACAGCAGAATCACTCTGGAAAGAAACACGCTTCAATCAAAGCAGTGAAAGTGCACATCACAGACGAGAAACAACATTACTGAGCTATTGATCCATTTCAGGGCTACTCATACTACTCTTATTTACTACACTATTGTCTGCAGTATGCAATATGCACAGTATGCACTTCTTCTACAAGCACAGAATACTAGTGTGCAATGCATTGCATAATGCATACGGTTTCACATGCATAAACAAAATAGGCTTCAGATTTGAGTACATACTGTGTTGTATGCAATACACTTTGAGGGACCCATTTTCCATGTTCTGCTTTAATTAAAAAACAAATTAGTTTGGAGAAAAGAGGGTGAATTGGGGTGTAAATGGAGTTTCTCCTCACGTCAGAGGACTTAAGATTGGTTAAATATCTCGCTCTCAGCATCTGACTCACGGCTTACAGGCCACAGCGTTTCTGACAGAGAACACAATGTCTGCGCTCGGCTTTCATGTGACCTACTTTCAGCACAATCAAACCCAAACATTATACTGAGAAGAACTAAAAATCCCATTTTTAGTGGGGGCCGTGCATTATCATGCTGCAACATGAGGTGATGGTCGTGGATGAATGGCACAACAATGGGCCTCAGGATCTCGTCACGGTATCTCTGTGCATTCAAAATGCCATCAATAAAATGCACCTGTGTTCGTTGTCCATAACA